AATAATCAAAATACATACTTCATTATAATTTGATCCAAATTTAATTACTGAATCCTCAAATTCCTTTAAATAATAATATATTGAATTGACGATGTTAATCATTATTGAGCACTAAAGATTAATTAATTTATTGAAACAAATAATGATTATACTATTTCATCATCTTCATCCTCATCAATTTCCTTTGGTGGTGATGATAGTGTTCCTGACAAATCATTATTTTTCTGCAATTAGAAACCAAAAAGATCCAAGTTATTAAAAAGTCACTCTTATCCATCCAAAGAAAATATAATTTACTTACTTGCAATTACTGTTGGTGAACTATTTTTACATTTGTTTTGCCTGATAGTTTGCTGATTTTGGACACCAAGTTTCTACCTTTTGGTTACTGATTGTTGCCAATGTGCGACAAAATTCAATAACAATCATGAGAAAATCATCACCATTCTTAAAATAGGTAAAAATCAGCTAAAAATCAGATACCTGATATTTCACAGATTTTATTCCGAATTGTCCTTTTTTTACTTGTGATAACCTTAGACAGAAAACCATTACTGCCTTTATTTTCAACAGTTCCAGTTTCTTTTGATTATTTCAAGTTGTTCTCATTAGTAAGAGAGGTGTGTTTGTTTTTTATGTGTTTCTTTAGGGAAATGAACCACATTCATCCAAAACATGAAAATAGCTTTATGTTGTGCTTCCAATTTTTGTATTAACCATCTTTTACAAAGTAAGTTTAATTGGTGATCCTTCTATGAATAAGTGAATGTTATATAATGATCGACGTGGGAAAAATTTTACAAAACTAGTGATGTTAGCCATTTAAAAATCCCTTAATCGGATGATCCTAACATTAATTTAAGAAATTTTAAATCCTCCCTTTCTTTTGGTTCAAGTTTTGTCCGATATACATCTTTTCTTATTACTGGTTTCTTTGCCGCTCTCCAGTTTATCGAAAAGAATTGTCTTGTTGGTAGTTGGTGGCTCATCATTTGGTAGGTTTTATGGTATTTTCATAATCCCGAGGACACATGAATTGGTAATAACGTATAATTATAATTTTTGTTAACTTTGAAATTAATATTTATTGATTGATTTGTATTTATTGATATCTATGAAAATAAATTTCCAATTATTATTGTTATTATTATTAGGCGAGAGAACGAAATAATTGATGGCAATAAAATAAATTGAATGGATCAGATTTTACCAGCGAATGGTTTTTGGGATTTATTTATATGGGTTTATCAAGTCGAAACTTTGCCTTCAAGCCGAGGCTTATTTTGGAGATGATTGAATAGCAATTTTCTCGTACCCATTTACATTTTTAATGGGGGTTTTTTTTATAATAAAAAAAAACTAAATGAATTATTTGAAAAATCGAAAAATCAAGATTGCATTATTTAAAGAACATAAAAAAAAAATTCATCGTTATCAAACTTTAGTGATTAATTCAACAATAAAAGGATTTAGCATTCTTGGTTTTTTATTTAAAATCTCAAAAATTCGTATGTGAAAAAAGCAATTTTGTGCTAATTCCATCATAATCACTATATACACATAATCAAATTAACAATATAATTAGATTACGCAGAACGTCAATACCATCCTCTTGTTTGACGAATTCATAAAAAATATTTGAAGTATGAATTGCCATGTTGAGCTTGGATTTTTTTTTTAGTATAGTACTCACCAGCGCACAAAAGGTATCATTTTACATTTTCATCCATTTCCACAAGAAAATTTTGTGCGCTGTTGTTGTGCGTGAAAATGAAATGAAATCTGTGAATTTGCAATTCACGTACGTGAAATTCAAATTAGCCAATCAGAATTTCATATCCAAGCCAAAATTTCAATTTCACATACTTGCCAAGAAATCATATGTTCTTTCAAAACGGCGGCCAATAAAAATATTTTTTTACATTTCCTTTTTAGTATAGTAATAGTAAAGATTTACTACGGTATTATTCAAAAAATTGAACCGGGGCACAACGGTATGTGTAACATTATTATCCAATCAAAATTTGCACACCTCTTTGTCACGATACACTCGTTTAATTCGAATCTTATCTTGATATTCCCTGGAGTAAAAAAACAACTCCTAGTTTTAATCTCACAATATACACCTAGAAATATTGCTATTAACAAATTAATTTCATAAATGAATATAAT